CCCCCCCTCCCTTGATCCACCGCCCCATGCATGATCCTCAATGAAAGAGGATTCTTCATATTCTTGCCAGATCATGTAGCCAGGTTAATTTCTTTCATAGGTGTATTTTGTTTCCAATATATCCAACATGTAAGGAAATGATGAGTTATTGCCACACTTTATATTGTTAATAACATACCTTTTTAATATAATTATTTATAATATCCTTATATTATATTTTTTTATGTTTTAATAAATTAAAAGTATAATGATTAGTTAAAATAAAAAGATGTAATATTAATAATTGAGAGTGTGACAATAACATCATTTATAAAGAAATGAGACATGGACAGTTTTTGTACTTTATATGCTACAAGCTTGATTTTTGTTATTTAACACACAAATTAATAGTAAAAAGATCCAATAAAAGGCACAAGTTAGAAAAAAAAAAAGTAGTAAAAGTTATATCTAATAAATAAAGAGATAAGAAAATAAATGATATGAAATGAAAATTTAATTAAAAAAATGATACAAAAATAAGAGTTTGGAAATTAGAAAAAGTTAAGGATCAAAATCAATTTTATCAAAAAAATAAAGTACTAATATATTAACTTCTCAAACGTTTGGGGGGTTGTGCCCCTCCAAGGCCCCCGTCACTCGATTCACTCCGCGATTGCGCATGCTCAGGACTTTCAAGTTACAATTAATTAAGCTGAGAAAATCACACGAGAAAACAATAACAACCAACCACTTTATTCCTAACCAGACAAGGACATTTCCGAGCCTCATTGCCCAAACTCAATTGACTTTCCTACAATTCTTCCTAATTTGGCCATTTGAGCCCGTGAGTGGACTCAGATTCCCCATCTTTACCATCGCATTCGCAAAGTCTGTCTTGAAAGCTCCGGCGTTGTTACTGTATGCGGTGACTTGAGAGTCTGTGGAGCCTCCATTGAAGAGCACCTGGTCGGAATGCAGAAGTCCCTTCTTGTTCAACAAATTCTGAAAGTATGCATTGTCAAATAATGTTGGACTTGTAGTGTCTAGAGGAGCAAGATTGTTGTCTCCCCCGTTTTTTGGACAATTTCTCTGTCGTAATGTTGCAAAGGTGGAGTCAATGTTGGTCTCGTTGTAGATACGGGCTCGGAAGGTCGTGCACCTTGCTTGTCCAATTGTGTGCGATCCTAAAATTCATGGATCATTTAGTTGTTGATCTTGTATGCTTAGTCAAGTTGGTATATACTAATAAAATTTAAGGTCTGAGATTCAAATATATGTAATAGTGAGTTTAAAGGGAACTCACCTGAAAGAGCCACCATTTCTTTAGCAGTGAAACCTTTGTTGGAGAAGACAGAGATAAGGGTACTAAGACTTGAGAGTGGGGAGGGGAGGTTGGAATTAGCAGCACTTTGGCTTGCAGTGGTTGAATCTCTTCTTCCCAAGAGAACAGTCCAACTTAGTCCACCAAGCTGATAAAACAAAAATCAAATGATAATTATTGAAGAACAAAAACAATAATAATTCGAATAACACTAACTTAGAAATTTTTAGATTTAATATATTTAATAATATATTTATTAAAAATTATTATTTTTAATACAAAATAAAAAGGAAAAAAATCTTTAAAATGAATATATTACAACGTTGTTCCTTTCTTACAACAACGGTGGAATCACGAGCAGCGACTGCTACTATATCAGCACAGGAGACAACACCAGGGCATAGATTCTCTAATTGAGATTTAATGGTGTCTATTACTTCATATCCCCTCACTGAATTGGCATTTGGCCCAGCGTTCTTTTCTCCGGTTAAACTTGCAGTGTCATCCAAGAGGATGGATGCATCACATCCCTGTTGCATTGTAAGATTATGTTACTTTAACATAATATAGAAAGTACTGAAGTACATACAATTACATATATTCTTAGTATGTAGAAAATGCCCTGCAGGAAAAAAAATCCGTGTGTGGATTGAAACAGTAGCACAGATCCTATCTAGCATTATTGAATCTGTAATTTAGTATTTTCAGTACATATCAAGATTAGGAATCCTATGAAAAGATCATAACATGATGCATAGAAAAAAGTAAGGAAATACATTTTGTATTTGATGAATCATTGGTTCAAATAGTTAACGACATGCTGATATATAGTAATAAGTAGAAAATGTTTTGTTCAAATCTCTACATTTACATACACAATCATGAACACATGTTAGTTTAGTAAAATCACAGTTATATGCGTAAATGCAAAACGTACATATATAAAGAAATAGATGCGTGTGAATTGGTTGCAAATAAAGTTACTGTAAGGAAGAAATAAAGGATTTAGCGAACAAATAAGGGAAGAGAAGAAGGAAGAGGTGACTTGCATTAACAAAGCAGTCGTGGAAGTGAAGACGAAGCAAGGAAGCTCCCATGCGAGCCTCTTTCTGGACTGCGGATGCTACTGCCGATTTAATGGTGGCAAGTGCTTTGGGGCATGTTTTCGCGTAAAAGTTAGGGGACAACTGAGCAGAGGCAGTGGCTATAAGAAGTGAAATCAACCCAAATAAAAACTTAAACTTGTTGGAAGCCATGGCTAATTTAACAAGTTGCAGAGTAGTTCAGAGAAGAAGATGGAGGAGGAGGGGAAGAGAAGCTGGCTTGAATTGAGCTCTAAAAGGATCCTTACTATTTATAATTGAGCTCTACCCTTGAGTTTTGGACTAGCCCACTTGTTTCTCATGGTTTAAGTCAATGCTAATCATTTAAGAAATTAAATTAGATTTAGAAGATGATGTTTGACCGATCAAAAACAATGTGATGTGAATCCAAGTTCTCTTTCCAATAAATTTGGTTTTTGCCATTAAAATATTTTCAAATACATGCATAAATATTTTTCAGTGTACCCTGCACGTAAAATAATTTTAAAAAGATAAAAATATTCAAATGAATCAAAGATGCATCACGATTCATTAGGGTAATGTTTTTTTGTCTTTTTGGATTTTGAAATGATGTTTTAAATACAGTGCATCTTAAAAACCCATTACCTTTTAAATATATAAATAAAAAAATCATTTACAGTTTAGACATAAAACAAATTATCAATGCAACTATATTAAAAAAAAAA